TTTTTTTTTTGGTTGTAGTTGTCATTGTTGTTTGGCAGGCCTGGGCTGGATTCGAACCCGCCAGCTCTGATATATGTGGCTGGTGACCTAGCCACTTGAGCTACAGGCGCCAAGCCAGCTTCACTTTTCATTAAAAGCTCCTCCTGTTTTCCTTCTTCAACTAAGCCTATTAATTACTTTTGGTAAAATCTGTCTGCTTTAAATGGGAAAAAAAACACTATCCTTTCTTCTGGGCTCCCTCCTCATCCCTTTGGAGTTGAGACAGAAAAGTCAAAGGCAGGCAGAGGTCCCTGAAGAACAGGAAAGAAGTTGGAGGAGAAACCTGGAGAATTTACCCTCCTGCACTGATAATATGTGAGTTGGCCAGCACAAAGTGGCAAACATCCTCATCATGCCCAGCGAAGACTCCTAGAGGCTGACGGTTCAAGCTGGCACCATCTGGGCGAAACTGGTAAGCCAGGATGAAATTAGCCTGGGATATGTACAGAGAATCATCCTCTAGCGCCATCCATGGCATCTGACTGAAGAAATAGAAAAGAAAATTTAAGTATCATTAAGATAATAGCATAAAAACCCAACTCTCATCTTGAAAAGGCTGATCAAGCCCCAACTTAGCAAGGGTAACCTGCAAAGCTAACAGTCTATACTTTAATCCCCTCCTTCAAAATTACCTACCTCTCAGCTACCCCCAGAAAACTAGAGTGATTGAGCTTTAAGGTGATCTAATCTTCTTTGGACTTTCTAAAATAGAGTCAGAATTAAAAGATCAACCAAATATCACTTTTAATTAGACAATGCTTAATATTTGAATTCCTGGCTATCTGGACTTATTGTAGGTAGACAGAGCTTATAAAATACAATGTTTGAAAGGTAGAGAGGATAAAAAAGAAATCTTCCCAGCCAAGTAAAGTAACTTTCTTTCATTCTGCATCTGCATTGATTTAGAGTATAACTTATAAATTTCAAGGTTCCAAGATTCCCATCATATCTCTTTCCCAATAGATCAGTTAGGGTGTGATGGAAAAGAGAAGTGTGAGCCCTGAGAAGCCCCATTCCCTTGTCCTATTAGAGCAAAGGGGCCATTTATAAATGAAAGAAATAAAGCCATTTAGGAAAGGATGCTAATGTACTGATTAGATACCTAGATCCTCACAAGGATATCTACATTTCTGTATTAGAAGGTAAGTGTGACAATGGAAAAACACAGCTCCAGAGCAGTCTGCTACAGTTCAGTGGAGAAAATCAGCTCTCACAGGCAACTGATAAGAGAAATCCACAAATAGTTAAAGATTCCTCTATAATCTGGCAGGAGGAAGAAAGGTTAGAAGCCACAGGCCAGTCCCATGGCAGAGAGTGAGGCTTAAGAAGAAAGAAGACTCTGCCAGACACTGGGCTCTCTGGTGAGGACTAATCCCTTTTTCTATGGTAGAAATGGGTAGTCTACCTGTTCTACTCTACATAGGGGTCCTGGAGCTACAGGTCTCAAGAAAAGCAGAGAGAAAGCTGATTCATCCCCACATACAGAGACACTATCTCCCACTGCCAAGACTGAGCAAAGGGTGTGTTTCCTCCCCAGTCTCCTTAATACAAGTGTCATGGGAATGTGGGAAAGTTCTGCAAATTGACTTGATGGGCCATTAAATGCAGCTTAGACTTTGTAGTAACTGAGTTTCTGCTCATGAGGCTTTTACAAGTGTGTGCATACATTATACGGAACATGTGTAGGGTGTGTACAGATCCCTGCCTTCTCAGTCATTATGCACATTCCTCTCCAATGTCTCCTTGCGCACTCAAGCAGGCAGCAAACTAAGGGTATTACAATTCTTGTGGTCTACATTTGGTAAACAGTTATTTGCCTAATACAAGAAACCAGGTTCATGCCAGGTGAACAGTAGAGAATCCCAGAGCAGCCTCATAATGATTGCAGGTGTTTATTTGCCAAACTGCTTGAAACTAGCCTGAAAAGACAATGCCAGGGACAAAACCTTGACAGAAAAATAAACTCTACTCTTTGGTATTAAAAGGCAAAAGTGAGAAGCAGTGGGTAAAGTCCTTCAGAATAAAAGTCAGTCTTTCTCTCCTGTAGTTTTTTTTTATCATAACCACCATCACTATCATTGTCACATACTTCACAGCAAATGATGTTAGTGAAACCAGTAGAAACTGGACACTAGCAAGAGAGAAAGTTCTTTTTTTTTTTTGAGACAGAGTTCATTGTGTCGCCCTTGGTAGAGTACCGTGGCGTCACAGCTCACAGCAACCTCAAATCCCTGGGCGTAAGTGATTCTTTTGCCTCAGCCTCCTGAAGAGCTGAGACTACAGGCTTGCAACACAATGTCTAGCTATTTTTTTCTCTCTTTTTTTTTTTTTTTTTGGCAGTTTTTTATTTTTGGCTGGGGCTGGGTTTGAACCTGCCACCTCTGGCATATGGGGCCAGCGCCCTGCTCCTTTGAGCCACAGGCACTGCCCTATCCAGCTATTTTTTGGTTATAGTTGTCATTGTTGTTTAGTCGGCCCCGGCTGGGCTCGAACCCACCAGCCTCAGTGTATGTGGCTGGCACCCTACTCACTGAGCTACGGGAGCTGAGCCAGAGAGAAAGTTTATCAGATAAAAAAGACCGCCTCTACCAGCACAGATACAGGTCACTCTGGGATGCAGAACCATGATGTTCCCTATCCACTGTAACCAATTAATAAGGAGCACTTTTCTGGCAGGAAGCCAAATAATAACTATAAAATAACTTAGCATCATTGAAACATAACATTTGTGGCATTAACAGTGCCATAGACATCCTCTATATTTCCTAGCACTTTTTCTAAACTCCATCTCCTATAACATATATATCCAAACCTATAGATCCTATTATGCCTTTTAATAAAGTAGGGGAGAGGGCTAAAGAAAAATAATTGTAGGCTGGGTGCAATGACACCTGTACGCCTAGGATTTTGGGAGGCTGAGGTGGGAGGATTGCTTGAGGCCAAGAGCTCGAGATCAGTGTAAGCAAGAACAAGACCCCATTTCTACAAAAAATAGAAAAATTAGCCAGATGTTAGTGGCATGTACCCACAATCCCAGCTGAGGAAGGATCACTGGAGCCCAGGAGTTGGAGGTTGCAATAAGCTATGATGACACCACTGCACTCTAGCCTAGGGGACAGAGCAAGACCCCACCTCAAAAATATAAAATAAAATAATAAAGAAAAATAATTATGAACTAAGTTGAAACATGCATTTCATTTATTTCCTTTGAAAAGGTAAGTTAACAGAGGTTACCTCTGAGTGGTAAAATTATAGGTAAGTTTTATTTTCTTCTATAGAATTTTCTATTCATTTGCCTATAATCATAAAAATAATGGAATTTGTTAAAACAAAGTGCATTTCTTTTATTTCTTTCTTTCTTTCTTTTTTTTTTTTTGAGACGGAGCCTCAAGCTATCCCCCTGGGTAGAGTGCCATGGCATCACAGCTCATAGCAACCTCCAACTCCTGGGCT